ACACACACACACACACACCACACACTCACACTCGAAATGACGAAACACACACACACTCTCCTCCCCCACCTCTCTTCCTCCGTCTCTCCTCCCCCATGTGTCCTCCACCATCTCTCTTTCTCTCTCTCTCTCTCTCTCTCTCTCTCTCTCTCTCTCTCTCACACACACACACACACACACACACACACACACAGGCCGCTGGTTGCGGAGGGTGAGGGGTGGCTGGTTGCAGGGTGGAGGGGGGGAGGGCACCATGTTTAATATTTTTTTTTCTGAGCACATGGCGCACAAGCCACAGCGCACAGTGCGCGCACTGCTAAACCAGAGCACAACGCACAGCGCACCGGCGTGCACCTCGCAGCGCACACGTGCGTCGCAACTATGGTCTAAAGCCAAATTAGGCGCTTCTCAATCGAACGGTTCTGGCATGGAGGCCTCTCCTATTGGCATCCCATTAGGGTTGGGGGTCGAAGGACGGGGCGAGCTACTATTCGAAGAGCGATTGATCTTTCCGTTGGTCTGTGTGAGACAAGGTGAGAATCTGTACGTGATTGGTCTTCTGGATCGAAACGATAATCTAACCCTGCCGGTCATGGGAGACGAACAACTCCCAACGCATTCTCAGATTGTTGGCAGAGTCTCATATCTTTATGCTGATTGTTTCCAATTTTGCCTGTTCCCGGAGTTTTTTATGCCGAAATTGAGAGTCGAGGTGGCGATGGACAAGTTTGTCCAATACACAATAGTGTTTATTGATGCCCGCCTCCCAGGTGATGCTTGGGCTAACCTCAACTCAGTTGGATTAGGTTTTTTCCCATTAGAAGCCCAGGCTCAACCTTTGATTGACCTCCCTGGGGTTTCTGTTTCCTTTTTGGCAGATCTCAACCCCAACATGCCAAGGTCGTGCAACCTCTTCTCCTCCTCCTTTTTGAGTTGTACGATAAGACAGTGGAATTCTTCCGGTGAACCGTCAACGGAGGATGGGACTCGGAGCCAGAATCACGTCCCTGCAGGAATCCAATCTGCTGCCCCAACTCCAGAGACTGATGGGTAAGGTTTTTTTTGTTTTTTTTGAAAAAACCCTACCAATGTTAGTGTTGCTGATAAGAGCAGACACCACTAACACCTAGGTAGAGACTCCATCTATTGGTGGGGAGTATCACCTGCTGGAAACCGGGTCCAACGTCCCTTTTACATAACCTTGTTTCTTTATTGAAATATGTGAAGATAAAAGTTGCCTCTTCAGCCAACTTAGGCCGCAAGCTATGACTATTGAACCTAGCAAAAATTATCCCCTAAAAAAAGGTCTAAACAAAAAGCCCAACAATTACTTTATTGAGGATACCATTGTGAATCCACCATTGCTAATTCTGACGGGGGAAAAGGATCAAGAAAACATTCTGGAGATCTGAGTGTGGTTCCTGGAGGAAGCGAAAACCAGTCTTTGAAGCTCAAGAGGAAGTCTCGTTTGAAATTTTCCCCCTGTTCTTCCTTCCCTGACCATTTCACTTCTCCCAGACTCCCTCCTTCATTCCTTCCCAGCCAATTTTGATTGAAATTTTGAATACATTTGATTATATCTTTTTTTTTATGGAGCTGTTGTATTTTTGATCGTTCTACTGACCAGTGTGCTCTTATTTCTGTTTGTACAGATTGAATGATTAGTTCAACAAATTCCTTACCTTCAAGTTTTACATCTTCTCTTTCATAAACACACCTCTTGTACCATAATGCCCATAGAATAAATTTCCGACCAATTTCGAACAGGTTCTTATGAAATTCTGAAAGTTGCATATCCTGTGGTTCCCATTGCCCTAGTAGGATGGCTTTCCAATCCCAAGGCCAGTCAAATCCTGTCAGTGTTCTCCATATACTGTCCCATTTTCTCCATAATAGCACCATTCCGGGGCATTGGATGAATATATGCTCAATTGTTTCTCTGATTCTCTTGTTTGGGAAAACAGATAGACATGCTTTACACCATGGAAGCTCCAGACCCCGTTGCTCTAGACTGGTACGATTGATAAGCCAATCATTTGTTGGAAGACATCGATGAATTATTTGCCACTGTAATGATGAGACCTTAGCAGGCCGTTTTTTTAGTTGAGACTAGACTGATGGGTAAGTTACGGGTTGCCACCTGGAAAATCAAGGGATTAGGAGACTCAGGGGGAAAGCAGAAGGGCAAGGGAATAAAATTCTGGATCCATAAGAAACAAATTGACATAATGATGCTGCAGGAAACCAAACTGTCGGAAAGCAAACTGACTCAACTCCAGGATTAGTGGGATGGCCCCCAACTCTGGTCTCCCACCAGAGGGTCCAGAGGAGGGGTTGCCATACTAATTCTCAAACGAGTCGAGGCGCAATTGATAGAATTCGATTGTGATGTATGGGGTCGATGGTGCTGGGTCAAGGTGTTATTAAGTGGGTTTTCGCCACGATCTACGCGCCAAACGAACCAGGCAAGAGACTTCTGTTCTTCGAGTTCCTATCGTTTATCCTTCAGAAATGCAATAAGTTAGTTGTCGGAGGTGATTGGAACACGGTCATCAGTCCAGGGATGGATTCAGAATCGGATGATGGTTTGACCTCAGACAAATCAATGTTGCTGAAGTGGATGGAAGCTTGCCAGTTGAAGGATGTCTTCAAAAATCTCAATCCGACTAAGCTAGATTTCACATGGCTGAGTCAAATGGACTAGATTTCACATGGCTGGGTCAAACGGCCCAACTCGCAGGAGTTAGCCACAGACTCGATTTCTTTTTGGTTTCTGAGTCTGCAAAGGCTGACATCCTGAAGGTGCAGATGATAAATGAACCCATCTTTTATCACAAACCTGTGATCATGGAATGCGGGATATCCTCCATCATCAAGAGGGGACGGGGACTCTTTCGGCTAAATACAGAGCTATTGAAAGACGAAGGCATCAAAAGCTGGATAGAGAATTTATGGGTGGACTGGAGACAGGCCAGACCAAGTTTCGACTCCTCAGCAGAATGGATAGACGCAGTTCTAAAAATAATATCTAAGAAGCTAGACTCATTCTCACGAATTGCTGCGTTCCAGCACAACAAGGAAGAGAATGAGTTGTGGGCAAGGGTGAAGGAAGCAGACGCACGCATCGGCTTTCATCCGGTGTCGGATCTTTTCTGGGTTGAAGAGAGGAGAGAAAGGCTTGGGCAATGGGAACAACGTCAAATACAGAAACAAGAGAAATGAACCAAAATCCTTCAAACTAGAGGGATTGTCACTTATGACAGGATGAGGAAGGACACCTTCAAAAGCCTGCTTCCCAAGAACAGGGCGGTGCAAATGAGGGAACTAAAGTATCCACATCTGCTGGGTCGGCAGTTGGCAACATCCAATGAAGAATCGAAGATATGTGCAGTTATGCCGTGGATTACTACCACGACATCTTGACTACAAGAAGACCATTCGACGACATTGATGACAATATGGCATACCTGTCACCTATGTGGGACAATATGACTGTGAGGATTACGAAGGCAACAATAATCTGGCTAGACAGGCCAATTTCTGAAGCAGAGGTTACTTCCACTTTGGACACAATGGCAAAGGGCAAGGCCCCAGGCGACGATGGGCTCCCTACAAAATTCTTCTGCGCAGTGCTGCCAACATTAGCCAAAGACTTCACAGACATGTACAACGAAATCCTCAATGGCGGAAGGTTGGGGAAAACAATGTCCCAAGGCATTATCTCGCTGCTGTTCAAAGAAGGAGACAAGAGCGAAGTCCGGAACTGCGCCCAATCTCACTCCTCAACGTGGTCTATAAGCTACTCGCCAAAATGCTGGCCAACAGACTCTGTATGTTTCTCCCTATTGTTCAATGAGATCAGGGAGCTTTTGTCCGGAATAGTTCCATTTTCGAGAATGTGGTCATGGCAATTGAGGCGCTTGAATTGGTGGTAAGGGAAGATGCAGATGTTGCCATCTTATTGCTAGACTTGGAAAAGGCATATGACAGAGTGAATTGGACCTTCGTATTGACCACCTTGAAAGTTGCCGGCTTTAGTCAACGCTTCTGCCGTTGGGTGAAGACCCTGTACGGATTCTCCACAGCGGCAGTCTGTGTCAATGGCGAAATTTGAGAAGAATTTCAATTGTCCCGCTCTTTGTGCCAAGGCTGCCCGCTTGCTCCGCTTCTCTTTGTGCTGCACTTGGAACTGCTGCTGTGCAACATCAGCGCTATCTGGAGATCGCAGGCTTGCTGCTTCACAACGGGAAAGAAAGCAGAGTCAAAACCCTTGCTGACCTCTTCGCCATCTCGACCAACACCAACTCTTCTTTGGAAGCGTTAAAAAACTGCCTTAAAGACTTTGCTGAATTCTCTGAGGCCACGGTCAACTGGAACAAGTCTACCTTCTTCCTTCCCGGCATCCTTCAACTTGAAAGTGCAGTGGGGAATGGAGAGAGTACTGGCAAACACCGCGGAACGTTTCTTAGAAGTCCAAGTGGCCCTGGGTGACTGTTCGTCCTCCCAAGACCTCATCCTCCAGGAGAAGGTCTCGAGGAAAATCAAAGGATGGGGCAAGGCGAAACACTTGTCCCTCATTGGTCGGGCAATCGTCATCATGGCATCAGCTTTTGCCCTGCTTCGGTATGTAGTGGCAGTACGCAGACTTTCCCCTTCATTGCTCAAGGGTATAAAAGAAGAAGCTCACCGTTTCATCTGGAAACCCCAAGGTGATGAAGATAGTGAGTTCATCTCCAAGGTTGCCTAGAACTCCATCTGTTTGCCAAGAGCTGAAGGAGGATTGGCGCTTCTGGACCCCACCTCTCAAAATATTGCTCTCCTAGCCAGATAGGTTATACGGGTCGCCGAAGGTTTCGAGGAAGCTGACTGGATTTTATTAGCAGAATACATCCTGGCCGAAGAATGGAAACTGGCCCAGCCATCAGATGTATGGGTGGCTTTGATGACGCCGTCCTTCTCAAGCAAGCGTCCCAAGTCGAGTTTCTGGCAGGACGTCCTTCAGGCCTGGAGGAAAGCAAGACCCACAATTGCCCAGCCTCTGAAGTCTAAGGAGGAAGCAAGACACCAACATCTGTTTGAAAATGATTCAATCAGGGACAACCAAGGCAACTGGTTCTCTTTGGAGAAGAAGCCAGGAGCTTTCGCACTAAGCTGGTTACAGAAGGGGGTAAGCACAGTTGGTGACTTGTGGGACAGCTGTACTAATCAATGGAAAACTGCCGACCATCTGAAGCAGACTTTGGGTCAGCTCCCACAGCATGAAGGAAGAGCTGATTTGATCAAAGACGCCATCCCAGAGGAGTGGAAACTCCTACTCGGCCTGCAGGGCGTCAACCAAATGGACACTTGGTACAGGCGGGAAGAAGAAGAACCAGGCTGGTTCTTCAGACTGGAGAGTTGGAACGAGGACGGTTCTGGTAAGTGCTGGTTGGAAAGTTACAAACAGAAGCTCCCAAATCTCCCCAAGCTGGAACGGATGGGAATGCGTTTGCACTACGGGCTCAACGGGCTTACGGAAGTGAGGGTGAGGTTGCAGGCCCCGTCTGAGGCAGGCCTCCCCATGATCCCTCTCTTGGTTAGTAAGGGGACCCCCCTCAGAAACCTGAGGATCGATGCAAACCCTTGGGGCTGGCAAGTGAGTGGTAAACAGATCATAGGATTAGAGAATCTCAATGGCAGGCTAATCCAGTCTGAGAAACTATACCAGGCCACTGAGGAGCAGACGGACAGACTGAGATCTCGTTGGCAGCGAGAGGCCCCTGAGCTGGCTCCTCCCGAGTCCTCCGTCAGTAAATGAAGCGTCTCGGCTATGGACACAACTGCAATCGCTCCCATCTCAGAAGCTCACTGCTCTTCTATGGTTACAGTCTCACCTGGCAGTCCCCACTGCCAAGTGGCTAGCACATAGAGGTATGTCCGTAAAGGAAACCTGTGACTGCTGCAAAGACCAGCCAGAGACCATGCTCCATCTATGGTGGGACTGCCCAAAATCGGAAAGATGGTGGGGCTGGTGGGAATACCACTGGAAAAGGTTTACAGGAAGAACGGACCATCTGGGCCAGAGGTGGGCACTGCAGGGTGGACTTCCAAGTGATTCCAATGACAAAGAGGGGTGGGGGTATGTGGCTCAAGTCTGCTGGGCTATCCTCCTCTGGGTCATTTGGTTGGATAGGAATGGCCTGAGATTCCAGGCAGAGGGTCTTACTGAACGACAAGCTGGAGCTACCTTCAAGGTACTTCTGGCATCAGCAATCAAGGCCGATTGGTCTCGCAGAGCAATGCACGGTAAGATGTACAGTGGCATGCAGTGGTTTTGCCGTACTTGGTGCA